CCCCCACAGCCGTGTTGGCTTTATAAACATAACATTCTCATTCCATATGAGCTTCTTGTGACGCCAGTTGTGAGGATGGCGCTGGCCTTCTCCACCGTCGCGTCGCCAAACCGCCGGGCGGGTGGCCCGAGGAATTCGAAGACCACACACTTCCATACGTCGTTTAGGAATGCCATCAGGAGCCCGAGGCGGACCAAGATGCTGGGGCGCCTAGCTTCGCTGGCCCCCGCGTGGAATTTCGAGGCCGAGGACTACGAGACGTATTGCAATGGTAAGCAGTTGGTCGACGGCAGTGATCTTTGCAGCACGACGACGGGCGACGATGAGCTAGACACTTCCTTTCCCAAGGCTTCTAGTTCAATCAGCTCGATGGTGGAGGAGCTGGGAGTCTCAATTCCCTCCACTGATCAAATGCGACCCCTTCCTCCTCGAGGGGGACTGGGGAGGAGGAGGAGGAGGAGGAGGAGGAGGAGGAGGAGGAGGAGGAGGAGGAGGACTGAGGAGGAGGAGGACTGAGGAGGAGGAGGAGGAGGAGGAGGAGGAGGAGGAGAGGAGGAGGAGGGGAGGCTTGGACGAGTTGGTTTAGCGAGTGCCTTCTGAGGAGAGCGACTCTGAGTTCTTCCGCTCTCCGGCCCACGGCAGTGAGGACCTGGAGGGAGATGCCAGGGGGCCCAGGGCGGACCGTGCGTCGTTCGCTGTCTCCACCACAGAATCGATCGACGAGGAGGAGGGCCCCGCTGTCCAACTCGCTGCGATTGGGAGCCCAGGCGAACGCGACGCCGTACTGGCCGCCGTCTCCTACAGAGGCACGGACCTCCAGTTCGCGCCCGAGGAGCTGCGCTCTGATCGGGAGGTTGTGGCGGCGGCGGTGTGCCAGGACAGCTGGGCTCTCGAATTTGCACTCGGAGAGGCCCACTGGGATCGCGAGATCGCGTTGACCGCCGTGCGCGGTCACGGGAGCACCTTGGAGTTCGCCGGTGAGCATTTCCAGGGTGACAGGGCCGTGGTGATGGAGGCGGTATGTCTGAAGGGCGGGGCCCTCAAGTGGGCAAGCCAAGAGTTGCAGGCTGACAGGGAGGTTGTTCTGTCAGCAGTGGGTCAGGACTACCTCGCCATGGAGTGGGTGGACGCCTCCCTGCGTCAGGACCCCGATGTCGTCGCTGCCGCTCTGTGGTGCTTCGGGGAGAGGTGCCGTGAGTACAGCTCGAAGCCGCTTTGGTCCGAGGATTGGTTGGCAAACGACTTCACTGTAGCAAAGGCCCGCGAGCTGGCGTGGCGGTGGGTCTCCACCGTGGAGGCGCGCTACTTCAAGCGGGCTCTGGACACCATCTTCCCTGTCGTGGAGGACCAGGAAGACTGGCAGATAGCGCAAAGTATCGAGGGTCGCCTCAGCCTGCTGCATCTGGCATGCTTTCCCTCAAGCGCCGCTCCTGGCACCGCGCCCGCGTGGCTGGCTGGGGTTCAGGAGGCACTCTGGATCGATCAGTCCATTTGGAACGACACCGAGGTGATGGGCCTCCTCAACCGCTTCGAGGCAAGCCTGGGCCTCCCGATTAATCACGTCCTGCTGCTAGAAGAGGGCGTCAAGTACGGGTCGAAGTTCCCTGAGTTCGACATTCCCGTGCCTTTGCACCTCAAGCGCAAGGGTAGGTGGGAGAAGGTCAATTGCGACTTAGCGTACCCAGAGGACGGTGAGGCCCTGGTGGTGCCTCCCAACAACCTGCAAGGCCCAGCGCCCGTGATTTTGTATCTCCTGGGCGCAGGCAAATTCAACAGCCGGGAGTCTTTCCTTGGCGGCGAGATGTCGGTGTTGTGGGAAAATGAGCGGCTCAGGGAGGATTACTACATGGTCGTGCCCAAGCCCGACACGCGTACCGGTCTTATATATTACCTCGGCGAGGGCTTCAAGAGAGAGTGGTCCGAGGACGCCGTCTGGTGCCTGTTTACGGAGATCCTTCGGCGCCTCGGCCCGGAGAAGGTCGACCCGTCACGGCTCTACGTGAGTGGCTCTTCACAGGGCGCTGTTGGCGCGTGGGGATTGGCAGTCAAGTTCGGCAGCATGATCGCCGCTTGCCAACCAATGGGCGGCAGGTGCGAGTGGCCCAGCAATTCGTGGCCCAGTGACTCTTACTCCCCTACGGAGGAGGCCTTACAAAACCTTAAGCTGTGCCCGATCCGCTGCTCTCACTGCAGCACGGACTCGTACGCCCCCCCGCCGAAGCAAGACATGGAGACCCTGACATACTACGCCGCGGAGGAGCGGAGCTACGACATCTCGCCCTTCGGATGGGACATGGCCACGAAGATGGACACCACGGTGACGAAGTGGGTCTGGAAGGACTCCAAGAATCCGTTCGAGCTCTTCTGGGTGAAGGGCCCCATGGCGGACAATTGCCCCATGTGGCCTGGCCTGGACAACCACCTCGTGTGGTTCCGGATCATCTCCAACCCGCTGTGGGGTTTTGCCGCCTTCTTCTCTGAGCATGCCGTCCCGGAAGAGCGCCGGTGGCGCTTCGATTCGGAGCCCATGAAGGTCGACACGTCGGCACACCGGGCGATGCTGCAGCAGATGGGGTACTGGGACAAGCCCGAGCCCACGCCGCCCGAGATGAGGACAGTGACCGTGCACTTGGGGCGGGTTCAGAAACTGGACGAGTGCGGCGCGCTGAACGAGGACGTCCGCGAGTGCCTCGCCAGCAGTCTGGCCAAGTGTGCACAGGGCCACGAGATGCTCGTGCTGCTCCAGATCGAGGTCCCGTCCCGCCCGATGCCCCTCTCGATCGAGCTGGCCCTGATAAAGATCCACGCGGACGTGAACAAGGCGGTGACCGCTTTTCAGAGGCACCTCGGGGCGACCCTGCAGGGCGTCGCTCAGGGCCAGGAGCTCGGCGTGTCCCTGCAGGTGAGCATCCCGGTGCCTCCAGAGGCAGTCCAGTTCCACGTCGTGGCCAACAGGCCTTGGGACAAGTCCGCCCTCTGCAAGCTGCGCCCCGGGCTCCCCGTGCTGGCGCTCAAGATCAGGGCCGCAGAGCTGATCTACATGGACGCCAAGAAGGCGAACGCCTTCGAGGTCGGGCTCCGGCCGAATCCGAAGCCCGGCGAGAGGTCCCAGCCCGTCGTCCCGCTGCCGATCGACATGCCTCTGACTGAGCACCACCTCGAGCTCGACGCGTGCCTGGAAGACAAGAACGCCTCTGCGCCGCCGCCTACACTGCAGGCAACCGATGCCTCTATGATGAAGCTCATGGTGCTTCTGGCGCACCACGAGGACCACGAGCTTGAGGGCTACCGTCCCACGATCCACACCCTGAAGAAAGGCACCACGGTCGTCGAGCTGAAGAGGACAGTCGCCGACATCACTGGCCGGAGCATGGACGAGTTCGGCATCTGCCCAGCCACGGCCTTCCCCGAGAACGACAGGGAAGGGGAGGGGGTGATCAAGTACCCACTGAAGGACGAGGCGGTTCTGACCGAAGAGAATTGGCTCTTACAGGTGTGCGACCTTGGCCTGGCGATCACCTTGGACCTGGGCGGCCTCGCCAAAGAGATTGACATAGACAAGGGCACAACCGTCAGGAAGCTGAAGTGGATCCTCGCGAACGGCAACGAGAAGAAGGCTCGGATGTATAGGCTTGCGCTGGTCCCAGAGGAAGGGGAGAAGCCCAATCCGTTGCCGGACGACCTCGTCTTGACAGAGTCGCACGCGCGGGTCATGTTGTGCTGATTGGTCGTGGCAGCTCGCCAAGAGGGTGCTGGCTCTGTGTTGGACGCCAGGCGGGAGCCAATAGCGCGCCTAGCCGCGTCAGACGACGATCGGGCATGCCTAGTGAAAATCACTTCGCGACTGGCCTCCTTACTTCGATGGGGACCTTGCTTAGAAGTTCTGTCACTCGAACAACCTTGTGGGTTCGTTCCTGCCTCCTTCGGGAGTTTCCTCATCGCATTCGCTCAGATCCAACCACTGCTGCGGTCCTCGGATTCTGGCACGTGATTTCATAAACACTTCCACAGTAGAATGTGCATCGGGTCCTCGCCTGAAGGCCATCATCAGTTTGTGACTGTTGTGCCTTCCTTGGCAGACCCTACGTACTGCTCTTTTATCGTGAACCTCACGCGTTCCACCCTACTAGTACTCAACCTTTTTGCACTGACAGCTAAGGTAGTAGCCTGCGCAACGCTTCTTAATTACGTGTGTTCTCACATGCTCGCAAGAATCGGCAAGTTCCCTGCCATAGCCCCCACTCACCAGTACGGTTTTGCAGCATCCGCCGGCCCCTTTGTTTATACAGCACGGTGCATCTACAAGTTATGAGGGTATTCCCAGTTGCTTAATCAGCATAACGGCCGGCGTGAGGGGGGGGCAGCTGGCTATCTTGCGTTGGGCTTAGGGGGTGTGTTGGAATGGACCGCGTTGGGATACATGTCCCTTCCCAATCGCTCCCCTCCTCCCCTGTTCCGCTTGAGCTTGAAGGGGTTCGAGTCTCATGGCAGTTGGGAACGGCATATTTCGCACGCCTGGCGGCAGGTGCTGGCGGACTTGGCAACTTTTAGTCCCCTGGTGCCACAGTCACCAGTAGCCATCGGTGGCTTGCCCGGCGCGAGGGATCCTAAGATTTGTTGGGTCATGTAGCGCTCGGACCGGCCGGCTTTGGGGTTTCGTGCGCCCCTGAGGTTTCTCGAAGCCTCAGCAGGCTTGAGCCTGTAAGTGCCTGGCGCGAGCGCCGGTGCCGGTGCCTCCGACTGGAATACCATACCAGCGTCGGCGCGCACGTCAGTTGCTGACTCAGCCTTGCACAGTTGCCGATTTTTTTGTGAAACAGGGCCGCTTCATCTTCCGCATGCACGCTTCCGCCTTGCACAGAGGTAGGGAGGGGGGGCCAGCCAGGAACACCCAGCCCAGAGCTGGGTCTGGTGTCAGGCCCACGGCTTTTCTCTCCTGCGATGGCTACTCGCGTTGCCAGCGCTGTGGGGTTCCTCATTCGCTTCCGCCGGCCCCGCAGGCGCGCGACGAGTCGGAGGTGAGCGGGTGCACGTTCAGGCCGGAGGTGGACCACAGGCCGGTCAGCCTTGTTTGCGTCTGCACAGCTCCGCGAACATGTCTGGGGAGGGGGAGCGCTGATCCACTGCGGGGTGGCCCAGTCGTCCGAGTGGCCGACTCACGCGGTGGTTCTTCGATCGCTTGCTCGAATGATCTGGCTTCGGTCTTGTGCCCGGCCTACCCCGGCAGAGCGCGGTGGCATGCTCTTTTCTTGCAGGAGAGGAGGACGAGGAGGAGGAGGAGGCGGACGCTCGGCAGGCGAAGTCGGGGCAATCAGGGAGTGGCAGAACGTTTAGGAGCAGCCGCGAAGGGCTGCGAACGACCGAGGAGGCGAAGAGGCGAGCACGAGGACCAATATCATTGAAGGCGCGGAGTACGTGGCAGGCGAGGTGGAGGCCTGGGAGAATGGCGGGGAATAAGATTAGCAGGAGCGAAAGAGACGGACGAGGGGTGGGAAAAGGAGAGGAGGAGGAGGAGGAGGAGGAGGAGGAGGAGGAGGAGGAGGAGGAGAAGAATAAGAAGAAGAAGGAGGAAGTTGAGGAGAAGGAGGAAGTTGCGGCGGAGGCGTCGGCGGCGGGGGAGGAGCCGGAACAGGGAGAGTAGGAGGGCGGAGTCGGTGGAGGAGGCAGAGGTGGCAGCGGAGGTAGGGGCAGAGGTGAAGGGTGAGCACGTGTGGCAGGCGGGCCAGGTGGAGGAGGACGAGGACGGCGACGACGAGGACGTGGACTACGAGCAAGAGGAGCTCGGGATCAGCGGGGGTGAGAGGGGGAAGATGGAGCGAAAGGGGGAGGGGCAGGGAGACGGAGGCGGAAGTCATGGGGACTGGGAGGGGAAGGAGAAATGGGGCAGATGACGGCGGAGGAGGAGAAGGAGGAGGAGGAGGAGGGGGGACAGGAAGAGAGCGGAGGAGGGCGAGGAAGATGAGGACCCTCGACCCCTTTCTTGAGGTGGAGCGTGGTGCCAACTGTGCTACACTCAGTCTGCGCCACCCCTTTCGCTTCCTTTTTCTATTCTCTAGCAAAGGCAGCTCACCCCAATTGCCTTTGGTGTGCGCTCGCGTGCGAGGAGGATGAGGCCGAGGGCTTAGAGCTGGCGGACCAGACCAGGGAGAGAACGGGAGAACGGACGAGGATCAGGATCAGTTTTGACGACCCATATTGTCAGGAACAGGATGGGGAGATGGAGGATGATGCGGAGGCGGAGCTTACGAAGGAGGAGGAGGATCAGGAGGAAGAGAAGGAGAGAGGAAGGGGTTCATGGGGTTAGAGTTGGAGGTAGACGAAGGTGGAAATAATGTGCTCCATTGATGGCAACTTCGCTTTCCCGGGAACTTTGGTGCAAAGTTACCTGGAATGGCTGCCAGAGCTTTCAACCTATGTCGCCTATTTTTGTTACAATGTGTATCGAAGACGCCTACTGCGAATCACCGCCGTCCCCTGCCTTTTGGAATCGCCAATGTGGCCGAGAGTTGTGGCAAGAGCTCTGCCAAGCTATTGGGCCATGTGTTCTCCCAGCCCTTGTAGGAAACCTTCGGGGAACACTTGGGGGAGGATGGCGGAGGAGGAGGAGGAGGAGGAGGAGGAGGCATCTTGGGAGCCTCTGGGAGCACTCTTGGGGCCTCCTTGGAGCTTCCTGGGAGCCTTTTGGAGGTATCTTGGGGGCCTTCTTGGGCCTCTTGGGGGCCATTGGAGCTTCTCGGGCGCCTCTTTGGCAGTTGTAGGGCGTTCCTGGCCCGTCTGACGCCGTTGGAAGCCGTCTTGGGGGCCTCTCTGGGCCGACTTGGGGCATCGTGGGGTGCTCCAGGGCCATCTTGGAGGCCATCTTCGGCTTTTTGGAGGCCTCGTGGGCAGTCTTGGGGCCCTCTTGGGACCGTCTTCGGGGCCTCTTGGGCCTATCTGGGGCCATCTTGGAAGGCATCGTGGGCGATCTTGGGGCGATCTTTGGGGACTCTTGGGCCGTCTCGGGCCGTCGGAAGATCGAAAAGAAGCAAATGTCAAAGTCCTTCAAACATCGAAAGCCAATCTATGATTTTGGTCGTCTCTTCTGGCCTTCCTGGAGGCCCTCTTGGGGGCCTCTGGAGCCATCTTGGAGACCTTTGGTGGGCCTCTTGGGTCGTCTTGGAGCCATCTTGGACCGTCTTGGTTGGCTCCTGACCCGTTGGACGCCGTCGGAAGCCGTCTTGAGCCTCTCTCGGCCGACTTGGGCCTCTTGGGTTCCTCTTGGTGCCTCTCGGGGGCCTCTTGGGGCGAAATGCTAGGATTTTCGGTTCGTGTTCCCTGTCTTGGGCCCCTTTGGGGGCCGTCTTGGAGACCTTTTCGGCTGTCTTGGGCGCCTCTTGGACCGTCTGGAGGCGCTCTTAGGCCGTCTTGGGGCCCTCTTTGGGGCATCTTGGGCCGTCTTGGGATGGTCTTGGGGGCTTCTTGGGCCGTCTTGGAACGTCGGACATCAGAAAACGCGAGAACGCCCCAATCCTCCGAACACTTCCGGAAACTCAATGATTTGGGCCACTTGGGGCCCTTTGGGAGTCCTCTTGGGAGCCCTCTTGGGAGGCCTCTAGGAGGCCTTTGGGGCTGTCTTGGAGGCCTCTTGGGCCATCTTGGGCGTCCTGGGCCGATCTCTGTGCGTCTCGGGGCTCTCTTGGACCGTCTTGAAGGCCTCCTGGAGCCCTCTTGGTTTGTCTTGGGGCCTTCTTGGGCCCAGAAAAGTCATGCGACAAGCCACGGGAAGCCCCGGTAGATTTGAGCTTTAGGGGTCCAAGCCCCTTACAGACTCTTCAGGAGTGCTTGAGGGACTAGGCAAATGACCTGAGGTGGCCAGGCGGACCGTTCAAAGTGAGGAGGTTAGAGGCGGGACGACAGTGCTTCAAGCGAAGAGCGCGGGGGCTTAGAGGAGAAAAAAAGCAGGCGGCCGCAGGGAGAGGAAATGGCAAGGACATGGCCGGAGATCAGAGTGCGCTGGTTCCCGCCAGGTCTGAGGAATTGATGGCGCAGCGGATTCAGCGCATGAAGGTCACTGGGACGCTGTACGACTCCTTGTACGAGGACGCAATGCGCCGGAAGGACCGCGATGGCTATTTTAGGGCCGAGTCTGAATCAACACTTTCCCAATAATGTTGCACATGTATACGTATTTTGATTTTTGTTGCAACCCTGGGGGTGCGGACCCCTCCCCCCAAAACGGGACCCCCCGGATCTGTGGCCCTGGGGCCCCTTGGGCATCCCTGCGGAAGGTTCCTCGAGCTTGCCGGAGCTCTTGGACGCCCCTGCTAGACTTAGCCAGCGGGCCCAAATCGGCCAGAAGGGCGGCTGCATGGCCCCGCGAGAGCCCCGAGCGGCCCCAGACACCCACCAGACGCCCGAAGACGACCCAAACAAGACCTCCAAGAGGGCCCGAGACCGCGCAAGAGGCTTCGGGCTTCCAGACAGTCCCGAAACCGTCTGGAAGCCTAATAACATAGCCCCCACGCGGCCCGGTCGAGAGCTCCATGACGGCCCAAGATTGCCCCAAGACGCCGCTCGAAGCATTCCAAGTCGTGACCCCGTCGTTCCGGGAGACCGCGGTTGGAGGCAGGGTGGCCCGAGGAAGCCCCCATGGGGACACCAGAGGGCGCCCAGCAGGCCACCAGAAGGCCCCAAGAGGCCCCTAAACATTTTCGTGCGGCCCCCAAAAGAAGCTCTCCCGGGAGGGGCCTCCGTAAAAAGAGCTGGGGAGCATGGGGAAGTGATCGCAGGCTAGGGCGAGAATGCAGGAGACGAAGAGGAAACATGAGGGAAGGATATGGAGTCATGATTAGATGACGGCGATGCCGCGAAAGGCAATAGCACGTCATCGCTGTATCATGCTTGTGTAGTCCACGCACGGGGCGCCCACGAGGCACTCACGAGCGGCAGCGTAGCGGACCCACCCAGCGCACGGGGCGCCCACGAGGCGCCCACGGGTGGCATGTTGGCGATACCTCGGCGGGCCCATCCCATTGCTTCGAGATGCAAGGAGGACACGTGAGTGCAAACACGCTATGGGGGGGCACCGTTACACATACATTGCAATCACACGCGTATATCTATACACATATATATATATATACATGTGTATATATATGTGTATATATATATGTATGTATGTATGTACACACGCATGGCCGTCCCCCTCCAGCACCCCTAAAACACCCAAACCAACAAAGCAAACATTGATCGTGTTCTTCTCCTTCTTACTCTCCTCTTCCTCGTCCTCCTCCTCGTCCTCCCCCTCCTCCTCCTCGAACGCCTTCGAAAGCAGCGAAATCGCGAAAACAGCGAAAACGCATGAAACAAACAAATACCCCCCAAACAAGTATAAGTTTGGGAGAACAGTGGCCCCCCGTCTCCCCAGAACTTCTCCCGAAACCAGTTTTTGTTGTTTTCGTTGTTTGTTGTTGTTTCACGCGTTTTCGCTGTTTTCGCGATTTCGTTGATTTCGAAAGCGTTCGAGGAGGAGGAGGAGCAGGAGGAGGAGGAGGAAGATGCGTAGGATGAGGCGGAGTCGCATGATGGGATGAGGAGATACCTTGGAGCAGCTGTTTCTCTTCTGCGTCCTGTCTCTTCTGCGTCCTGTCACCCGTCGCTGCCCCGTTGTTGCGTCGTCGCCGCTGTCGCTTCGGCATCCAGCCCCGGTGGTGGTAGGGCTCGGGGCAGGGGCGCTCTCCTCTGGTCCGTCCATGCCACCGCCGAAACCAAACACGTCCTCTTCCTGGGACGGGTCGCCGGCGAGCCCACTCATGTCGCCGCCCTGAGAGCGAACGCGTCGCCCTGCTGATCGGCTGGCCCGTCTGCCGCGCCATGGGGGCGGGACGCCGACGCGGCAGCGGTTGCGGACGAAGCGCTTGTCGCGCCCGGCTCAAAACCCGAAGTGTTGCCGACGACGGAGACCGTGCGTCCAGGGCTATCGCCAAACATCGAGGCAACGCGGACCGTCGCAGCCGTTGGCACGTCGTGGCCTTCCAACAAGTTGCGCATGTAGGAGATATGGCAGCTTTCCGGAGGTATCTGCAGGGAGCGGGCGGGTAGGGGGCGATGGCGATTCTTTCATTTCGCTGATGAAGAGGTCGGGGATCGTGGGGTTGGGCCACGGCGTGAACGCGGCGCCCTTCTCCAAATCGGCGGAATCCACGCTCCAACGCACGCCGCGGCCCGTGACCGCGAACCGCGATGGCCTGCGCCCTGGCGAGGATGGGGCATTGAAGTCCCCCTCGGTCTGCACCCCCTCGAGCGACGGAGCAATGATGCGCTTGAAGTGGTCCAAGTCGTGCACACTGTTAATTTCTATGTTTTCGGAAGTTCTTTGATTTTTTTGGGGGGGCCAGGATCCTTTCATTTCTCATTGTTCTATCCTGGGCCTCTTCCTGGCCAGTAGGGGGCCAGGAACCATAAGAAACGAACACAATTTGAAATGAGCACGATTAGAAGTGAACGACGTGTACTCGTCGAGCGTCGCGGCATCCAGCGCCGCCTTCTCCGCGTCGCGGTCGTGTAAGGGTTGGCAGCGGCTTGCCCTGCTCGGAAGCGCCGCCGCCCCACCGAGCCCCCACAGCAGAGCATTCGGGGTTGATGGGACGCCTTCGGCACGTCAGCTGACACCTGCAGGCGGTCACGTGCGGGCCCGACCACCACCATGATTTTGCCAATTGGGGGAGGGCTGCGGGGGCTCAATTCGTTCGAGGCCTCCCCCATACGACAGGAACCGCACTCCCCCTCAGAAGCCGCCGGTAGTGAGGGTAGGGATCACATGTGACCACCAAGCTTTCTGGAGGAGGCCGTCGTCGAACATCCCAGGCAGGACTTCCGTCGTCGGCTTGCCCTGTTAAAGAAATCCACGTGCTACGTGCTTCACCGTGAGGAAAGCGATCTCGTTGGCGGACCCTTTCTTATGGATGCTACGCGCCGAATGCGTCCAAATCGAAGTCTTAGAGCCGTTGCTCTTGCAGACAAGTGACTTCCCGACCCACAATACTCCGTGCGCGTGGAGGGTGCCAATCATGAGCTTGAGGACGTCGTTGAGGAACCAGCCGGCGAAATCCTTCGCCGTCAAATTCCTACGCGCGGTCGGATTGGCGTTTGTCCTTCATTTTTGATGGTTGTGCCAAGCGGTCTCCACCTTGGCGGCTGGCAAGCCGAAGATGCTCGTCCCCTTGTATTTGCCTCCATGTCGGCCCACTCCACAAACGGATTGCGGTTGTCACTGCGAGGGCCGTGCTCGCGGATGAACGCGTATCCCTGCGCGCGCCCATCCTCTAGCGGTTGCTTCCGCTCGTGGTGCGGCTTGATCGTGAAATACCGTACGGTGGAGGCTTGGGATAAGGATACCTCTGAAAAGGATTCCAAGGTCTCGCGACCGGTGGGCTGTCAAAGGTGGGCCATTCAGGTCGCCCCGAAGCGAGAACGAATGCGCCAGAGTCTGGCCCCCGGGAGAACGTTCCTTATCTCATAACCCCCACCGTATTTGACAGCCCTCGAGCTTCTCCGACATGAACTGGAGCGCAACCGTGCCCGTCCTGAAGTCTTTCCCTTAGTCGATTCTGCGGGCTCCACCGTGGGCGCAGCTCAGGATGGTCGCGGCATCGACTCGGTTCTTGTCGAAGCTGGCAACCTTGAGGATGCGGTAGGTCGAGCAATTGCTGTCTTCGGGGCTGGCGCATTCGTAATGAACAGCGGCATCGTGCACGGGACGGCTGGCTGTTTCTTCAGAGGCACTGGGGGCTTCAATTCCTTGTGCCCACCCTGGCTGCACAGCTCGTGGAGGAACAGGAGGAGGAGGAAGAGGAGGAAGAGGAGGAGGAGGAGGAGGAGGAGGAGGAGGAGGAGAGGGATTAGTAGAGGGAGGAGGAGGAAGAGGAGGAGAAGGAAGGACAGGAAGAAGAGGAGGAGGATCGGCCGAGTGGAGTGCAGATCGGCTTGCGATCGACTGGCTTGCGATCGATTGGGCTACATTCGATTGGATTGCAACTGGTTGGGTTGTAATAGTTGGAATTGCAATCGAATGGGTTGTAGTGGATTTGATCGCAACCGATCGGACTGCAATCTGTTGGATTGCAGTCGACTGGTGGGAGGGATAAGAATCAAAGGAGGAGGAAGAAGAGCAGGAAGATGCATTCCCCCTCCCCCCAGTCCGTTGTTTGGGGGTACTGTGTGCGGGGGGGGGCACACACACACGCACACACACACACACACACGTACACAATATACATGTGTGTATATATGTATATATATATATATATATACAAGACTGCATTGGCGCTTTGCGCCATGCACCTTAGTCCTTGAGGCTCTGCTTATGTTGGTCGTTCGCGCCATCCCTAGTGGCTTCCACACACACACACGTACACACAAAATAATGCAGATGTCTGTGTATATATATATATATATAGACATACAAGACTGCATTGGCGGTTCGCGCCATGCACCTTTGTCCTTGAGGCTTTGCTTATGTTGGTCGTTCGCGCCATCCCTAGTGGCCTCGGAAATCTGGCCCCTTCCCTGCAGTGGTTTTCGGAAGTCTTCAAAAACTCAGGCGGTCCGTGGCCCCTCCCGGGCCTCCAGGGGCTCCCGAAAGGCGCCGGGTGGAAGGCGAAGGATAGGAGGGAGGAGGGAGGGGATCTCGGGGAGCGAGGAGAGGGAAGCGGATGTGGTGAAGGACGAGTGGTGGAGCGGCAGAAAGAGGATGAGGAGGAGAAGGGAGAGGAGGAGGACCCAGAGAGGAGCAGGAGGAGAGAAAAAGATGGCGCCGTCGGGGGACGGCGAAGAATTTCGGCTGCGCCGCACCGAGGAAGAATGAGGACTGGCAAGCCACGCGAATGAATGCCAAGCAAACCGTCGCAATGTCAAGCAATGCCGCAAAATACAAAGCAATGCCAAGCCGAGGATGTCATGTTGCAGCGGGTCGCAACGGGGTACGCGAAAGTATGTATTTCCTTGGAAATTCGCCGAATCCTGGGTTCGCAACAGATTTCCGGGAAATGTGGCTGCGAACCCAGGGTTCGAGTCAGTTTGGTGGGGCGGATCGCCGTGTGGGCTTTGTTCGAGCCTTG